CAGCACCCTGCATACTGTGGCCTGTTGAGCTCCAGGTGCCCTTCCAGACACAGATGCTGACTTATGATGGGGTTGTATCTTGATAAGTCTATCATAAATTGAAAATGTGATAGATGAAAATGCATTGATAAAACCTACCTCCCAACCATCCTAGCTCAGCAACACAGCACACTGTGGAGCGTCAGCTGATTCCTCTTGTAATCATGGGGTGGGCTGGGACTTGTGGCTCTTTGCCATTGTCAGCATCAGGAGAGGATTTTACCACATACTGTAATTCTGGGAAATGATTCACATTCGAAATTCAAAGTAAGATTTCTACTGAATGCATATGGCCATTTCATCATATAAAGTCATAATTCATAAGTCGAATGCAGCTAAGAACTAAGTGCCTCTCCACTCTCACGCTCTCCTCGCACACCTCAGCCCTCAGCACCTGCCTCACTCATGATTTTCTCAGCAGGGTTGGACAGTGTGTTGACTCAATGATTCTCAAATCACCATCCCCAGGCCAGAGCTCTGGACCCACCTTCACACCTGCCTAAGGGTTTCAGATAGAGAGGACCCACAGGCAGCTCAGATTCCCCCTCAAATTGAACCTAGCCATGCAAAAACTGCTCCCCTCCAGTGCTCCCACTCGCAACAAATTCTCTGACTCCCCAGCTACCCCCATCAGAAATCTGTTCACAAGCTTGACTTTCCCCCACCGCCCCTTCACCTCACATTAATCATTAAGGGACATTTATTCTACCTCCCAAAGATCTCTTAAGTCTGCTGACTTCTTCTTGTCCCCTCTGCCACACCACTAAGCAAAGATATGAGCACCAACTCCATCTGAATTGCTACAGAACTCTCCCACTGGGCTCCAGTCCAATCCTTCCAGTACCCGGACCCAGTGTGACCTTTCTAAAGTGCAACATGTCACCTTGGGCAGTCTCCAGCTTCACTCTATTTGGTGACCTCCTATTGCCCTTAGAATAAAAGCATACCCTGAAAGGCCCTTGTAACATCATCCATGCTCATTTCTATACACTCCCAACCCTAAAGCTCTAAGCTCTAGAAATTATTTAACATGAAGAAACCTTGCTCCCTTGTTCCTCTGATCCTTTGATAAAGTTTGAATGTGGTGTGTCCCCTAAYCCTCACCTCCACCCCCAACTCATGCAGGAGTTTGATCTCCAAACTATTATGTATAATATTAAAAAGGTGGAAACTTTATCTTACTATAGTGTTTAGAGGCAGGGCCTTTGGGAAGTGATCAGATTAGTTTAGGGGCATTAGGATGGAGTCCCCACAATCAAATTTCAGAGAGGTAGAGAGACCACACAAGGAAATACACACATACTTCCCCTATGATATGTTACACCTGAGTGGACCTTTGCAAGAGCCTGTCTAGTGTTGTTTGGACTTCAGCCTCCAGAGCTGTAAGCTAAACAAACCTCTTTATAAGTAACCTAACTTAGGTAGTTAATAATAAAAACAGAATCTGACTAATACAGCCCTCACCTGCTTCTCTGTCTGAATGTGCCTGTCCTTTCCCATGATACTATGTAGATTTCTATTCTAATACAGTAATGCACAGCTTAATACATGACTATAAAGCAAACATCCTTGTATCTGGCACCCAGGGCAGTATATTCTAAAAACTTGCCAACTTAAAAAGAAGCCCCCATTTTCTCTGTCCTCTAAATTTTTAGAAGTAGTCACTGTCTTGACACTTAAGATAATCGCTTCCTTTTTTAAAGTTCTATTTTGTTTCCTTTTTTATTATTGTTTTCCTCTTGTGCAGTGTTGGAGGTTAAACCTGGGGTCTCCTGCAAACTAGACAAGTGCTATACCACCAAACTACACCCTCTGCTCCTCTTTAGTTTCTTCAAAGTCTAATCACCTAAGTGAACATTCCTGTGCATGTCTTTTCTTTAATATGTCTTTTTAGGTGGTTTTAAAAAAATATACTGATTCCTCTTTATTTTTTTTCAAATGTCTTGTCATTTATTTGAAGTAAGTTTATTATTGTCCTGTAGACTTTCATGTGGTTTACATTTTTAATTAATTTATTTTAATTGGTGCATTATAATTATACATAAAAGTGAAATTCATTTTGATATATTCATATGTGCACATGACATGGTTGGATTAATTTTATTCTGTTGTTACTCCCCTTTCC